GCGCGTGTGTGAGTATGTCCGGTGTGTGTGTGTGTGTGTCCGGGGTGTGTGTGTGTGCGCGCGCGCATGTGTGAGTATATCCGGTGCGTGTGTGCGTGTGTGTGTGTTAGAGAAGCCGAGGATCGCACTGCTTTAGAATGGCTCTGCTGGCTTCTGAGCAGGTGCTGGCTCTGTTGTTCCAGTAACAGCTCTTTCTGTTTCCAGCAGTCCTATGCACCAGCTCCCCACCCCATGGCTCCTCCCAGCCCCAGCACAAACAGCAGCAGCAACAACAGCAACAACAGCGGAGAACAGTTGAGTAAAACCAACCTGTACATTCGCGGCCTTCCACCAGGCACCACTGACCAGGACTTAATCAAGCTGTGCCAACCGTAAGTGCCCTTCCATTACCTATAGGGTTTCTCATCACGAGGGTGCAGTCCACAGAGAACTGAGTTCACCCAGCATCCCACGTTCCCTGATGCCAAAGACGCAGCTGCACAGAATCTAAACTAGGGGTTTGAACTCAGTTTATTTGGGCATTAAGATTTATTTCATTCTTGTTACAGAGGAGGTGATTCCTGAGCAGATATACAAGGGAACTAAAGGGTTGAGTTTTCACATCATATGGTTTAGGGAACCATTGAAACCTTTCATGAAAGAACAGCTCTTCCTGAGAACCGGAGGCAAATCTCAAGAGTCAGCAGTAGATTTCTGGTTGGTAACGTAGGTCCAACCTGGGGTAAGAAAGCCACCAAAATCCCTGTTGTTGAGTTGATTCTGACCAGTAGTGACCCTGGAGGACAGAGGAGAACAGTACCACAGAGGCTCAGGGTCATATACCCTTATGGAATCAGACTGTATCCCCTTTCTACATGGAGAAATTGGGGAGTTCAAACCACCTAACTTTAGCTCAAGAGTTGAGTGCATTGTACACTGTGCCACCTAGTTTTCTGTAGATCAAATTGGAACCAGGTGATTGGAGAATTATAAAATTTACTCTTCAGTTGACTCTAACAATGGGATCAAGTACATCAGAGATGGTAAGGAAAGTGCAAGACAGTACACACTTCAGACTCCTTGTTCATAGGGTCCCTATGAGGCATGGTCAACTGGACAGCACGTGACAACTTCAGTTTCTTGGAAACATTAATGGCCACACTGAGTAAAGCCATCCTCCCCACAGCCAAGAGTGGCACCCACCACGTTTTGCCTTTAGGAAATACGGAAATGATTAAAACTTCCAAAAGAGTGTCATTAATCTCTTATTACCATCATTTACTAACACTTATTCCTATGGAAATAAATTAGACATATTTATTCTTTAATTAATGGTGGATAATTAATTAAGAATCATAGAATTGTGTTCTTATGTGGTTTCCCAATTGCTTTCGAAATAGCATCAGGACTGCAAGTTTGTCAATTGATTGTCTTGACTGTGTGCATTTTTAAGCATTGAGAAATAATTATTGCTTAATTGTTCTTTCTCTCTTTTGCAATATTTTTACAAGAAAGTTAAGAAGATATTTATCTTGGAAATTTTCCAGCCTCTAAAATGTTGAGAAGTTTTTTCTGTTTTGTTTTGCTTTTTTTAAAGCAGGCAGTGTTTGTCTTTGTTCAGAGTTGTAAGATGTGGAATAAATATCAAAACAACAGGAAGTGGCAGATAAACCAAAACACAAACACATAATTATATAATCAGAAAAATATGTGAATTAGGATAAAGGGGCCCCAGTGTTAGTTACTGCCTTGGTGTGTAAAGAAGATAAGGCAGAACTTTGAAAAAGTAAATACTTAAAATTATTTTAATATTTCAAATCAGTTACTTTTTAAAAGGGTGAAAAAAAATGAAAACCTTGAGAATTAAGAGGGCGCTCAGGTGGCGTAGTTCAGAGGAAGAAAGATGGACAGTTTTCTCCTCTGTGACTGACACTTGAAAAGTCAAGCTATGAGTTGGTTACAACTTGATAATAATGACTTGTTGACTTGAAATCACTAAGTCCTCTAAATATGTCTAAACTTTGGCCTATAATGATTAACAAAAATTACTCATTAGATTTTTCTATTGAAAGGTAAATAAATCTGGTTTTTCTAAATGTTGTGGCAAGAAAATTCTCAATTCTTTTGACAACCCGTGTCTTCAAAAGTGTGAAAGATTAATGTCTATCTGATAAACTTATCTCCTTTGAAGGCTGTTGATGTGAATAGAAAATGTATATATTTTATTTAAATATTCATTTTAATCATAGAAAATATTGATGAGTATTAAGAAAAATGTTATTCCCCGATCCCCACCCCGCATTCTGTACCTCGTCCAAAGTTCCTTTGCTAAAATTCCCCAGTTCTAAGGTGGCCCCAATAATACACATTTCTAAAAGGGTTCTGGAGTTCTTAGTGCTGATTGGCTATGGATTACTATCTTATAAAGGATATTGACTCTCTATTATGCATAAAGTTTCCCTTAATATACCGAGTGTAGCTGAAGTTCAATATGATAGATTAAAAATTGCTCAGTCACTATGTGCTCCTGAGTCTCTTAGAGCCTCAGTTTCTGCTTTATCATGGAGCTGGTTGAATTGGATTATTTTTCGAGTTCCGTGTGATATTAGTGGTTTGATGGAGCAAGCTCTGACTTGCTCCCTAGTGCCAGTTATTAAATATTCAGAAATTGTGCTAATTGTTACCGACTTGATGGTTTAAAATTGGAGGTGGTGAGAGTAAGTAGAAATCATTAAGGTGTTTAAATTAGCAATTTTTTTTTCCATTCTTAATTTTAGAGAACTGTTTTAGGAATAAACTGCCATGGACTCACAAAAGAACAAATACATCTGTACCAGAGAAGTGCAACCAAGATGCTCCTTAGAGGCAAACATAGGGCAACTTCCTCTCCTTAACTTTGGACATGTTGTCAGAAGGGACCAGTCCTTGGAAAAAGAAATCACGCTGGGATAGGAGAGGGTCAGAGACAAAGAGGGAGACCTTCAGTAAGATGGTTTGATGTAATGATTGTAACAAGAGGCTGGAGCATGCCAGAAATCCAGAGGATGGCCCGGGGCAAGGTTAAGGTGTGGCTCTGCTTTCATAAGGTCACAATAAGTCACAGTCAGCTTGAGGCCTCTGAAGTTCAGGGTCCTTCTCTGTGTCCCTACAGAATTTACATATACAAAGTATCCTCTGAAACATATACTAGTATTTTCACCCAGAGAAAACTTGATTAACACAGAAATATGGCTACTGAGACAAAAGTGTCATTAATATATTTTATGTGTCTTTGAAAAATTTAAATAATATTAAATAAATGAAGGAAAATGGCTCCTTGTTCTATTTTTTGTATTTTCTCCATCCTTTTTATTAATATTTTTATCATTCATATACATTATGTTTCATGCATGTACACTGTTTCTTATACAATTTTTTTCATTTACATTATATTTTGTTCTTGCATTTTGTGGGTTATTTTCTCTTAAAATCATCGTACTAATAATTACATTCTTGAGAGCACATACATCAGCTATTTCCTGCCTCCTTCCTTAATTTCCCCATGTTAGATAGCCAATTTCTGCTTTGTCCATCCCTATCAAACCATTACTCTGAGGGAACAGGCATATCCGTTTTGTAGACGAATCTGCTGTTCAACGTGGCAACTTTGAACAACTGCTGCAACAAGCAAAGTCTAAGGCAACCAGACAAGCAATCAACCCCCCTCCCACCAAGGATCACCTTCTTATCCCCAGCCTCTGTGGCTGGGTTCAAATGAGCATCAGCCGCAAACTCAGAAGTCCCTGTGTTCTAGACCTGTTGGCCCCTTTACTGGATCCTATCCCAGAACACTTGATCGTTCTAATGCGAAACTTATACTTGGACCAGGAGGCAGTCGTCAGAACAGAGCAAGGGAACACTGTATGGTTCAAAATTGGGAAGGGCGTACGCCAGGGATGCATCCTATCTCCATACCTTTTCAACCTATATGCAGAACAGATTATCCGGGAGGCTG